TATATATATATATATATATATATATATATATATATATATATATATATGTATGGATGTTGTGTGCGTGTTGTGTGTCGGATAGCGATGAGTGGTAGAGTGCAACGAGGACACACCGATCAGTCGCGTTTTCGCGTGAGGTGAGGTTAAACTGACGTCGATCGGAAATTCGTGACTATCTTCCGTGCTTTTTCCCTCCACAGGGGACTCGTATCTGCGATCTCTCAGCCTGCATCCTCTCGCGTATACGTACGTAGTGCGACGAAAGGAAGAAGCAAAGTGACGTGTTACACGTGCATTGAGTGTGTTAAAGTGCCATCTGAATCCGACATTTCGAGGACCGAGATCCTACTATTCCTGCTAGAATTTCTACGCTCTACGTGTTCCCATTACGTGAGTATAGCCTCCTGAAATCTGTGATATCTGTGTTGTTTAGAATATACCGAGACTGTCGTACTTGAACGAGTTGTTTAAGATGGCAATTAACCCAATTTCATCAATTGGGTAGATCGACTCCTATTCTGGCTATACATGTGGAAAGATCGATTCCATTTTCTCTCTTTCCATCTTTCCTCCTCCTTTCCCTCTCATCTTTTGCCTTTCTCTTTATCTCTCTCTCTCTCTCTCTCTCTCTCTCTCTCTCTCTCTCTCTCTCTTTCGCGCGCACATCTGCTACTCATTTACTCGGCACGACCTTCGAGCTAGGACGTGTCCCACGATGGGAACGTTTCGATCGCGCAGGTACGAGACACAACTCTCTCTTTGACGCTCAAGATACCTAAAATCTTATCATTAATAATAGATGCGTTACAACAGAATAATTATGGTGTCATTTAAATCATTGAAAACTGATTAAGTGATATATAAACATGTTATAATAATAACATACTATTATAACAATTTAGAGAATAATACACACACATATATACATGTTATAATTTATAAGTTTTGTTTTTGAGGTATTATTAAGAAAAAGAGACTTTAATATGAAAAAATTATTTGTTTATTATTTATTATAATACAGAAATAAACTATTTTCTGTGAAAATTCCTAGTGTACGAATACCTTTTACACCACTGTACATATATTCACATGTGTGTTTATGCACTTGTCTTTCTTAGAAATTATGACATAAAATGACAAATCTATTTACATTCACCTATATTCTTATGTTAGTGTATAATGTTGAACATAAACAACACGTGATAAGAAATATAAAACTTATGCACATATAAAAAAGTAATATATAGTATATTAGCGTAGTTGATATCGAGGAATAGATTATTAATAACAAAATTTGGGTATAAAAAATTAGACGGAGCCATTACAGAATATGTGACAGAAATGTCTAAAACTTGTAAAGCGTGCAATAAGAGCATTCAGACGGAAATAAAATACGGATCACGCATGTTTATTGAACATAGTATCAGTCAACAAACATACGATTTAAATAGTTTCATTGATCATATTACTCTTAATGACTGTGAATATAAATTAAGGATATTATACAGCACTTATTAAATGTAATGAAAACTGGACACAATTCGACAATTTGAGTCGTAAGCCAAGTAGAGTTTTCTAATAATAAGAACAATGCTACAATAAACCCGCATTTAATAGTGTACATTAAAGTGTGAAAAAATTCCATTAAGTCTATTACAAAAAATGACAAGAAAAGGAATTATTATCTACTTAAAAACATAAAAAATTTTAAATGTTAAAAAACATTATAAACTTAAAAAAATTACAAAAATATCCAGCGAAAAAGAAAAAACAAAAAAGACCAAATAATTCTCGATCTCCAAAAGTAAAGTGCCTTTTAGGTTTTTGCTCGGAGCGTAAAAATTTTACGTCTTATAAGTTAGCGGAACAAAGTGAGCAGAATCAATTCTAAATAATATTTTTATTTGTTGCTCATTTGTTACTAAAAAGTTGCCAAAGAAAAAAATTTGTTGCTCTGTAAATTTTCTTAAAAAATGATGTTCCGTTAAAAGAAGATAACGTGACAATATACATGTAACAACGAAATTGCACATAACAATAACGTAAGAATTTGTTGCTAATTTGTTACCTTAAACGAGCAACAAAGAAGGGAGTGTAAAAATCGCCATTTTTTGCTTTCAACGGGAACCTCTAAAACATGCTTTGTTACCTTATTTGAGAGTGAAAGGAGAAGGAAATAATATTCTTTTCACCACGAAACTGCAGGAAATATTTTAGAATATTTGTGCCAGTACCAAATTTAAACGAGCAACAAATTATTTTCTGGTACTTTACTCGTGTAACTGTCCGCACGTTGAGGTTTTCCGCTGTTATTTACACTTATTTTTCAAGCAACAAAATCGAGACAAGCATATTTTGTGAGCAACAAATTCTTACGTTATTGGATATAGTTATTTGTGTAACAAGTGCTGTAAGATGAAAATTTACGGGTGCGGAGTTGACGCACAAGCCGAAGACGAGTGCGGTCACCGCACCCGGGAATTTTCATCTTTACGCACGGCTTGCACACCCTATTTTATGTTGCAAGCGTGCGTAATGGGCCACTTTCCATGCACGTGTTACATAAAAGAATTTTACTTTATATACCCCAAGGGGCCTTAAAGGGCGTTTTGAAGGAACGTACCCAACCCTAACCTCCAATTCATCCACTACCTTACTGTTTCCTCCTTTGGACCAACGGTTTAACGGCTCTTCCGAAAGACGGAGCCCAGTTTTCTCCGCATCTTGCACGGAGGAGCGCGGTTTTTTCAGAAAAAAACTTTTCCATGATTCATGGCTCTAGTGGACTCGAACCTGGTTCCTCAGATTACGAGTCTGGCGCTCTACCACTAGACCATACCGCTGCCCATTCTTACGTTATTGTCATGTGCAATTTCGTTGTTATATGTATATTGTCACGCTTAATCTTCTTTTAGCGGAACATCATTTTTCAACAAAATTTACAGAGCAACAAATTTTTTTCTTTGGCAATTTTTTAGCAACAAATAAAAATATTATTTAGAATTGATTCTGCTCACTTTGTTTTGCTAACTTATAAGACGTAAAAATTTTGTTCCCGGTTGTTCTAGTAGAGAATACGGTAGTTTTTAAGATAGTTTTAAAGTGGAAAGCCTATATATATATATAAAACGGAGCAAGATTTTTATCCAAGAAAATCGAAAAATGTTTTTAATGAAGAATAAAATGGGCCATATATTGTTGTTCTGATCTTAAGAATTTTGTTTTGAGTTTTACACGGTTATAAGTATGTTCTAAATCGACAATTTTGTAAGTTATTTTGTTTTTAAAAAAATGGCCAAAAACGTTTTTATTTTTAAATTTTTTTCAATATCTTTTGAAGTTTTTGACCAATCAAATTAATACTTTGGAACATTGTTTTGAACAACTAGAACAACTTGGAACTTGGAACAACCTTGAAAAATTTGATTTTCGAAAAATGGGGTGCCAGTAAAAAATTTTTTTAATTTTTTGCCAAAATGTTTATTTTTTAAATTTAATTTTTTGGAACAATTTAGAACAAGTTTGGAACAACTGGAACAACTTTTAGAATTTTTAAATTTAAAAAATGCTAACTTTACACAGGTAACTTTCTTTTGCTTGAAAATAAATTTTTATTGTAAGAAATTTAGTTATATAAATTACCATTACAAATATAAAAGAAAATTATAAATAAAAAGTAAAAATGTATCGTATTGTTCGGCGTTTTTTTCCGCCATTTCGTAAATAATACTGTAATAATGATAGAAGTGCTTTAATTAGCAAAAACTATTAGAAATAGAGTAGACAGATTTATTTAATTTTAGCTACAAAAAGCCAAGAAATAGACTTGGTTTACAATATACCTTATACACACTTATACCAACTTTTTTTAACTTAATGCGTGCACTATTAATTCATTATTCCGTACTTTCTTAAATTTCTTTTAGAAAAACCATCTTTTAAGCCCTAAACGACTAAATCCATTATTTGCACGTTAAACTCACAATCTAAACTCAAAAATATTTGAACCTAGTCCGCTTCAGCAGTAGGCCAAGAAATGCATTATTTACCTATACACACACACACACACACACACACACATACCTTTATACAACAACGCGCAACAACTAATATTAATATTCCATATATTTCTAAATTCTTCTCAAATCTCCTTTAATTCAGGAAGAACCACTTATCTCGCTTTATCTCTAAAATAATTTCTTGCATCCGAAAACTTATAAAACTTGAATTCTAATGCATTCTCTCTATAAACCTTATACTCCAAAACCTATTATATACCTTAAACTCATATCTTCCATAACTTCTGCGTGCAAAACTCAAAGCCTAATTTTAAAACTACAAAACATAATTCTCTCTCTTTTTCTTTATCCCTACCTCTACCTTAATATTAAAACCATTTTCCTATTTTTCAACCACATTTTGACATATTAATAATTCTTTACCTTTACCTTAAAATATTAACGCAACTTTCTCATCTTACAATACTCAATTTAACTGTAAAACCCTTACACTCAAATATTTACATACACCTACATATAATAAACTCGACTAATAACAAATCTCCTGCTTCCTAACTAATACTTTCTTATGTCCCCCTATCGAACTCATCACACCTCCCTGTATGCCCCTCCCTCCTCTTCTTTCTTTTTTCTTTCAATATTATCTTCCTAATCTTAATCTTCCTGATCTTTTGAGTTAATCCTAATTTAACTCAAAAAGACTTCTGTGCCCTCGAATCGCTCCATTCCTCTTTCTTATTTGCCAAATTCCTCAGCACTGCTCCTCTCCTCTCCTACTAAATTGTCTCCCAGCTCTTCTTCTCTCGTTCCCTCCGAAGCAACATTTATTTTCTCCGCGCGCGCGCGCGCGTTCTCTAATTATCTTCCCGTACTTCCTATCTGCCGTTGCATAACCAATATACCTATATTTGCATCCGTGCCATCTAAAGATTCTAATATTTCCAGAAAACTGCTGCGTCCTTTCTTAAACTGTAACGTTCATATCTCTCATTTTTCCTCTCTCCTCCCACATTTCCTACCTCTTTTTCCTCTCCTCTTCTCACCAAGCCTTGTGTTCTCGTTTACTCCCTTTCCTATTTTCATCTTCTTTTACCTTTCCTTTCCTTCAACGCAGATAAGTTTCGCCAATCCTTGTTCCAGAATTACGCCAATCGCTTTCCTTCACCTTTTTTCTATTCATTTTCTCTCTTCTTCATCATTGGCTTAACCCTTCCTCAGTTACTTATCTTCTTTTACTTCCCTTTCCTAGAACATCTCTGAACCCGCCAATCCTTGTGTTCTAGCTTTATTTTACCTTTCTTCTTTTCATTTCCATTAACCCGGAACTCGAGACTTTTTACAACTACTTTTTTCTTCTTTCTTCACCTTTAA